GAAGTACTTGTGGAAATGAGTACTATCTCCACTTGAAATTAATGCACATGCACAAACTGGTTAGTCATAATAAGCACGCACACAAGATCTTATGACCTAATTCTCAGAAGATCATGGCCAAAGGCCAGATGATCTTACAGAGAGAACGCTGAGAAAGGCAGGACAAATTTGGGGTATGACAGTTCCTAAGCATCGAATAAAGAATCAATTTTGGCTTGAGCTGTTATCTTTCCATTGATAAATTTGATCTTGTTCTTGCTGAGAAGAGCTCGCTTCATGAATCTACTCCAAGATTCATAGTTGTTCTTTGATAATGGAGGTGAAACAAGAATCGTGCCTGGATTTTCAGCAGGGTGTATGTAGTATGGACTTGAATGATCAATGGCAGAGTTCTTGTTGTTGGAGACGAAAGAGTCATATTTATCGCTATCCACTATGATGAAAAATGTGATAAAGTTCAAGAATGGAAGGAAGAAGAAGATGATGAATAGTGCAACTAAAAAGTTATTCACACTACTTATACCATAATATGATTTGTGTTTATTTGCATTGATGAACTTGAATTACAATATATATATATATATATATATATATATATATATATATATATATATATATATATATATATATATATATATATATATATATATATATATATATATATATATATATATATATATATATATATATATATATATATATATATATATATATATATATATATATATATATATATATATATATATATATATATATATATATATATATATATATATATATATATATATATATATATATATATATATATATATATATATATATATATATATATATATATATATATATATAGACACACACACATACACACCAAGAAAAAGAATAACTAACTTCCTATAAAATAGTAACAAACCCCAACTACCAACAACCATATAACAAAAACAAAAGATATGGTTTAATACAATTGAACCACATGCCACTGTAAACCAGAAGTTTATAAATAGTAATAAATTTGTAATTTAACATGACCGATTGGGCCTTCCCAATTATGTAATGATGCAAAAAATAATTGAAAATTTATGTGGTCATTGATTAAAGAGCCTAAAAATTATTCAATCAAATAAGTTCTCATGCGACTTTTGCTCACAAGGGAATTTGATAATTTGGCCATAACTAAAAAAATTAGAAACATGTCTATCAATTTTTTAAAGCGTATAAATGGTAATATTTATGGGTCAATGCACCTATCATGTGGACCATTTAAATATTTTATGGTCTTAGGTGATGAATCAATTAGATGATCACATGTTTGTTTATTGTCAACTCGCAACTAGGCATTTGCGAGATTGTTAGCTCAACTAATTCGAATAAGAGCTTATTTCCTTGATTATCTTGTTAAAAAAAGTATTGATAATGCTGCAAAATTTCCATCTCAAGCATTTAATGAGTATTGTACGTCTATTAGAATTGACATAGAACATCTAGTAGCACATGTTCATACACAAAATGGACTTGCAGAATTATTTATTAAACGTATAAAATTAATTGCAAGAACACTTATTATAAGATGCAAACTCCCAATTTCTGCATGGGGACATGCAATTCTGCGTGCTGCAACGTTGATTCACATCAGGCCAACGAGTTATCACACCTCTTCTCATTTACAATTAGTTTTTAGTAAAGAACCTAATATTTCCCATCTAAGAATTTTTAGATGTGCAGTGTATGTCCCAATTTCTCTACCACAACACACTAAGATGGATCCTCAAATGAGGATGTGAATGTATGTTGGATATGAATCTCCATCTATTGTAAAGTACCTTGAACTAACAATAGGAGATTTATTCACTGCTCATTTTGCTAATGGTCATTTTGATGAATCAAATTTTCCAGCATTAGGGGGAGAGAGTAAGAAGCTGGACAAAGAGATTAGTTGGAATGAATTATCATTATCTCATCTTGATCCTTGAACAAAACAATGTGAACTAGAAGTTCAAAAGATAAATCACTTGCAAAACTTAGCTAATCAATTTTGTATGCATTCATTAATCCAAAAAGTGTGACTAAATCATATATACCAACTACAAATGGTCCAATAAAAATGGATATCCCTACTGGACAACCTAATGAGTTTCAACCACGCGTGAAGCATGGCAGACCAATCGGTTCCAGAGATAAAAAAATCTTGAACAAGAAAGTGAGCTAAGAATAAAGATGACTCAATTGAGGATATAGAAAATCTAAAAGAATGTTCAGACATAATAAACATTTTATCTTCAAAAGAGATTGATCAAGTACCTGAAACTCTTAAAAATAAAGAGATCTCAATAAATTATGTCCATAATGAAATACAATGGAACCGACATGAAGTTGACATTGATGATATTTTTTATACGACATATCGCTAAATGTGATAAGTGACAAAGAGGATTATGAACCGGTGCCTATTAAAAGTTATAGAAAAAGTGAAGATTGGCTAAAATAGAAAGATGTAATTGAAGCAAAATTAAACTCACTTCACAAAAACCAAGTTTTTGGACCTATAGTCCAGACGCCTCAATGTGTGAAGCTAGATGGGTACAATTGGTTTTTCGTACAAATATGAATGAAAAGAATGAAATTGTAAGATACAAAGATCGACTTGTCACTCAAGGATTTTCCCAAAGACCTGGAACTGATTTTGATGAGACTTATTCACTGGTAATGAATGCAAGCACTTTTTGATATTTAATAAGCCTTGTAACACATGAAGGGCTTCATTTGCACATGATGAATGCTGTAACAACTTACTTGTATGGTTCACTTGATAATAACATTTACATGAAACTCTCCCAAGGGTTCAATATACCATAGGCACGTAGTTTTGGATCTCGAGAAAACTACTCCATTAAATTGAACAAGTCTCTCTATGGATTGAAACAATCTGGACTCATGTGGTATAATTGCCTCAATAAATATTTGCTAAAGCAGGGATATACAAATAACTCAATTTGTCCTTGTATTTTCATAAAAGGATGCGGAAAATAATTTGCAATATTAGTTGTCTATGTGGATGACATAAATATTATTGAAACTCCTTAAGAGCTTCCAAAAGCTATAAATTGCTTAAAGAAATAGTTTGAGATGAAGGACCTAAGAAATAGAAAACTATATCTAGGCTTACAAATTGAGCACCTGGACAATGGAATATTTGTATATCAGGAAGGATATATAGAAAAAGTGTTGAAACACTTCTATATGGACAAATATCATATGTTGTCTACTCCAATGGTTATTAGACCATTAGATGTTAAGAAAGATCCTTTCAGGCCTCGAGAAAAGGGTGAAAAATTACTTGATCCTAAATTACCATATATTGGTGTGATTAGAGCACTGATGTACCTTGCTAATTATACACGTCTTGATATATCATTTGCGATAAATCTGTTAGCAAGATACAACTCTTCACCTACATGAAGATATTGAAATGGAGCCAAACATATACTTCATTATCTTAGAGGAACAGTAGACACGAGTTTGTTTTATACCAAAGTATCCAAATTCGAATTAATGAGTTATGCAAATGCAGGTTACTTGTCAGATCTTCATAATGGTAGATCATAAACAGGTTATTTGTTTACATTGGTGGTACAACTATTTCATGGAGATCAATGAAACAAATAATGACAACAACTTCATCTAATCATGCAGACTTTTAGCACTACATGAGGCAAGTCGAGAATGCTTTGGTTGAGATCCTTAATCCAACACATACAAAATACTGGTGGTTTATCTTTTGGAAAAACAAATACACCGACCATATATGAAGATAATACTGCATACATCACTCAATTGAAAGATGATTATATTAAAGGAGATCAAGCAAAACACATATCTCCAAAGTTCTTTTTCACTCATGATATTTAGAAGAATAGTGACATAAACATCCAACAAATCTGTTCATGCAATAATCTTGCAAACCTTTTCACAAAGTCACTCACAAATAGAATTTTTAATCAACTAGCACAGAAATATTGATCTTCATCATCAAATAAATGATCGTTCAGCTGAGGGGGAGAAATGAATTTATCTTAAAACGATATTGTACTTTTTTCCTTCACTAGATTTTTTTCACTGGTTTTTTTTCTTCTTCTAGTAAGGTTTTAACGAGACATATATAAAACAAACATCCAATGGAGAGTGTTATGAATAATTGATGTTTGTCACTCAATAATTTCATTCTTTTTATAACAAATTTTATTTATTACATTATCTATATGATGTCCTATAAATAAGACCAAATTCATTTTAGAAAATTACACTAATATAATAATATATATAAATTATTTTACATTATCAGTGTATAATTTATTTTTTCTTTAAAAATATTAAATTATATTTATTTAAAGACGAGAGAGAAGCTTTAGAATAATTTAAAGTGATTTATGTAAAGTAATTTTGATAGTATTGTATGTATATTTCAAATTCAATTAATCTCTTAAAAAGTTATATGCACTAACAAATAAAATCAATAAATTTTATATTTTTTTATAAAGTTATTAAAAAATTTATTAAAAAAATTAAAAACTACCAATTCAATAGTTTAATTTGGATCAAAAAATTATGATTTCCCAAATTATGAGAAAAAGGACATTACGGTCAGACAATTATAACGGCTATATCGATAATATCAAAGAAAAATAGCCGTTGTCGCATCTCAAATCAACTTTACCCAAAACCCTAATTTCCATTTCCTCTCTCACGCTCTCTGCTATATATATATAATCTCTCTCACTCCTCTCTCTCATCATTCAGATCTCTATCTCTATCTCTCTCTAATCCTAATCAGCATTACCCAATCGCTATCATAATCGTTTCAATTTGATTTTCAATTTGTCTAATTTTTTGTTTGTTTTGCAGGGTTTCATTTTCGATTCCTAATTTCATTTCACGAATTGAATTTCATTTTCATTTCATTTTCTTGTGTTGTTGAATTTTGTGCATTGTTTCTTTTTTCTCTAACTATGGATGCAGGATCTTTGAGTTCCCCAGCAATCAAGTCCCGATCACGCTGTCCTCTTCAAGAACAATTTCTTCAGAGAAAAAGTTCCCGAGAGAATGTAAGGAACATTTTTCTATTTTTCTTTCATTATTAGGGTTTCAGTGTATAAACAATATTTTAATTATTCTGTCACTAATTGGATTAGACCAATTAGTAGTGTATCTGGGAATATTTGAAACATTGATTGGGTTTTCAAATTATATTATGTACCAATACTTCGTTTTTTTAATCAGTTTGTAAAATAGTATCTCTCTAATCTTTAATTATCAATTGGGGGTTTTGAATTGTGAATAGATTTTGAAATTATACTTTGTACAACCGAGTAGTAACACTCTAATCTTTGATTTGTTTGTCACCAGTTGGACAGATTCATACCAAATAGATCAGCAATGGATTTCGATTATGCTCACTACATGTTGACAGAAGGGGCTAAAGGTAAGGAAAATCCAGTTGCGTGCTCCCCTTCTAGAGAAGCTTACAGGAAGCAACTTGCAGAATCCTTAAACATGAACAGAACCAGAATACTAGCTTTCAAGAACAAGCCACCTACGCCAGTTGATTTGATTCCTCATGAGATTACTTCAAATCATCAACACGATAAAATCGCCAAGCCTAAGCGAGTTATTCCTCAGGTGCATTACTGAAATCTGATTGGTCTTTCATATATTTTGTTTTTGTCAATTTGGTTGAATGAATAACAGAAACAGCATCGGGTTTGAAACTTTTTTGAAGTTGGGTTTTTGAAACTCTGTTAATTATAGTTGTTTTCTTAATTTCTTGTTGCGTTTTTTTTCAATTCTGTAAATCTGAGTTGTTTTCTTAACTTGTAGTTGTTTGGGTTTTTTGAAATTATGTGAATCTGAGTTGTTTGAATCATCTGGTTTGTATAGTGTGAATCACAATTGTGCTAATTGATTTGTTGATTTTTCAGACTTCTGAGAGGACATTAGATGCACCAGACCTTGTGGATGACTATTACCTCAATTTATTGGATTGGGGAAGTGCCAATGTTCTTGCAATAGCACTTGGAAACACAGTGTATTTGTGGGACGCATCAAACGGTTCCACTTCAGAACTCATGACTGTCGAGGATGAAGACGGCCCTGTCACATCTGTGAGTTGGGCTCCTGATGGGCGTCATATTGCTGTTGGTTTAAACAACTCTGAAGTGCAGCTATGGGATACAGCTTCCGATAAGCAGGTATGTTATCCTTCAAATTATATACACCATTTTATGAACTATTGCTATCCTTTTCCTACACAAGTTAGTTTACTAATGTTGTTCTTGTATGTTTTTGCAGTTGAGAACATTGAGAGGTGGACATAGGCAGCGTGTTGGGTCATTGGCATGGAACAACCACATACTCACAACTGGAGGAATGGATGGTAGAATTCTAAACAATGACGTACGAGTTAGATCACCCATTGTTGATACATACAGAGGGCATGAACAAGAAGTTTGTGGGTTGAAATGGTCGGCTTCAGGTCAACAATTAGCCAGTGGAGGAAATGATAATCTACTTTATATCTGGGACAGAGGTACAGCATCTTCTGCTTCCCCAACACAGTGGCTTCACAGGCTTGAAGATCATACATCTGCAGTCAAGGCACTTGCTTGGTGTCCTTTCCAAGGGAATTTGCTAGCTACCGGTGGAGGCAGTGGAGACAGAAGCATCAAGTTTTGGAATACACATACAGGTGCATGCTTGAATTCAGTTGACACTGGGTCTCAGGTGTGTTCCCTCTTGTGGAACAAGAATGAAAGGGAGTTACTCAGCTCCCATGGTTTTACACAGAATCAGCTAACACTTTGGAAATATCCTTCCATGGTGAAGATGGCAGAGCTGAATGGTCACACTTCAAGAGTCCTTTATATGACACAGAGCCCAGATGGTTGCACAGTGGCAACAGCTGCTGCGGATGAAACATTGAGGTTTTGGAATGCTTTTGGCACTCCAGAAGTAGTTGCCAAAGCTGCACCAAAAGCTAGAGAGCCATTTTCGCATCTGAATCGTATTCGATAAGCAGTGACATTGCAGTTTGAAAAATGGAAATTTATTTTTTTGATGGAATACATATACCCAACTAACTGTATACGGAAAAGCAATGTGTAAATCAAAACAATACTGGGACATTGTACATTGAGGCAATGTGTAGATAGATATAGAGCAAGAGGGATGGATTTGAATTTAGGAGATTTCTTTCTATTGTAACATCTTGTATTATAGTGGAAAACAACACTTCATTTCCCGTGGACGTAGTCACACACCACTCGTGACGAACCACGTATATCGCGTCTTCTTGCCTCGTTATATTTTTATATTTCTTCTTGCAGTATCTCATTTTTCTCATCTTCTGATACCTATGGTAAAAATAAGGAATTTCTCAATATGTTCTGAAAATAAATAAATTTATATTTTCTGCATTTTGATTTCATACAAAGCATATACAGTATCTAAACTGGTGTGCAACTTGCTTCCAATCCAACAAATGAGAAACCTCGTTAATCTCATAGCGACTTAACATGTTATAAAGTGAATTAAAAAACGTTCGGGTCACTCGTGTCAATACACAATGAGCAACACCATTAAACCTCCTAGTGAACTTATGTTAGTACTTATGTTAGTTATATAAGTTGAATTAACAACCTGAAATTTGAGAAATTCAGCCCCAACAGTTACCACGCATTTGATAACACAACACATTCTTAAAGGCACTACAAGATTAAAATATCACTTTTTCGGATTATCTTTTAATTTAACGTTGTTTTTCTACTTAAAAGGCATCATTAAAGGTAACTGCACTCTTGATATTTTACACACATTTCTACTACGGAAGAATTCTAATTTTTGAAGAATGATGCCCTGCCCAAAGACTTCTTCAAAGTGGCAAGAATGTTTTTCTAACATATTTGTTTCATTCTCATCATCTCTAAAATGAAGATAGAAAAATAATCAGAGCATTCTTACAAATTTTGCTGTCATGAATCTCCGCTTTTGCTTGTTTGATTAAAGAATATAAATACGGAGACACAAGGTTTCCTCGTCCCAAATCAAGTCTCAGAAAAATTAGATCTCACCTTATTTCAATCACAATAGAAGAGTAATTTACAATTTTTACACAAATCATTATCCAGTTTTGAATGAATCTCATAGTTTTGAGAACACCTTAGGATACTCCAATCAAGTCTATTAAGAGCCACCTTGACAATCTTGCCTCTAGTTTTTGACTTCATATAATGCACCAAATTAATAGATGCTATAACATGATCAAGAATAGATCTCTCAAGAATAAAATTGATTGATTATTAGAGATGCCTTTATCAAAAACTTCTTTTAGACAGTTTGGCAAGAATTTTTGCTATCACTTTATACAACACATTTTAGAGGGCAGCCGGTCTCCGATCTTTCTTAAATACCTGTTCTTCACCTTTTGGAATTAAGGTTATTTTTTCATTAAGGCTTAGTGGGAAAGCCCTACATTAAAAGTTTCTAAATCGTAGATGTCTTAAAAATGATGATAGAAGGAAATATATTTTTCTTGCCCAGAAAAAAATGGTATTTTTAAATTCTTCAATGAAAAATAGTGCGGTCAACATCTCATTATCCCTCTAGAGATGGTTGGCCCTACAGAATGGAGAACTCATTCGCCAAGCTGAGATTTTTCTAAAGAGCTCTGTAAAATAATTTCGAGCAACCATTCACATATAAGTTGTCAATAAGCACACTTTTGTATTGGTATCTATAAGACTTCAGATAATATATACTTTGCTTCGGAAAAAAGAAGGCACAAATCAGAGTTAGGTAATGTTTGTTAGAATGTGAGAGAAAGTTGTTATTGAATAATGCAGTTTTAAACTCTTTCTTTACATGAATAATCAATTGCTTATATAGCAAGGAATCACACTCATAGTTAACTACCTTATAACTAGGAGTTAGTTATTCTATTACCAATTACATTCTAATTCTAACATTTACATATTGAACTCACTGCTACAACATTATGTTTGACATTCCAACATACACTCCCCTAATCTGAAACTAGCAAAAGAGACAAAGTACAACATGATGCCTGCATTAGATTCATGCACATAGTTGAGCAAAACTCAAATGACACAAACTACAATTCTTGTTGTGATGTAGTTGAAAGGCTCGAGTTTCACTAGTTTAGATAGCACATCTGCAAGTTGCTCTCATGTGTTATAATGATTTAGCTCAATTGTACCATCTTTAATCAAGTCCCTAAGAAAGTGAAACCTTACATCTATATGCTTGCATCTTCCATGCATCACCGGGTTCTTTGACAACTTGACTTTGAAACTGTTGTCACACATGATGATTGTACCTTAGCTTTGAGTCTGACTAAACTTGTGAAGAATGCTTCGAAGCCACACAGTTTGGAAAGCACATGAGGTCGATGCAACAAACTCAGTTTCAGGGCTTGAAAGAGTCACAATGGGGTGCTTCTTTGAAGGCCATGATTTATGATCTGATCCAAGGTTGAACATATACCGTGTAGTACCTTTTTTGTCATCACTCTCTTTTGCATAATCAGAGCTTGACCACCCTTGCAAGACCATCTCATCATTCATTTTGTACAAAACTCTCAGGTTCAATGTTCCCTTTAGATACCTTAAGATTCTTTTTGTAGATGTCAGGTGAATTTCAATTGGTCTCTCAATGTATCTATCTACCAAGCATACTGAATAGGCAAGGTCAGGCTTGGTAGCAAGCAAATACATCAAGCTTCCCACCATATGTTTGTAGCTTGTGGCATCAATTGACTTGCCATTTTCATCCTTATTCAACCCGCAACTCGACACAATAGGATTACAAACCTTATTGCATTGATACATGCCAAATCTTGTGAGTATTTCATTGACATATTTTTGTTGGCAGATGAAGATTACTGCATTTTCTTGCTTTAATTTCACCCCAAGAAAGTATCTCATCCTTCCCATATTTGTCATGACAAACATCTTTCTCGCTGACTCCTTGAATTCTTGAAACATTTGTTGATTATTTCCCGTGTAGATTAGATCATCTACATACAAGTTGACAATCAATATCTTGTCCTCACTATGCTTCACAAACACTTTGTTCACGAGAGCACTTTTCTAAATTCTCTTGATTCAAATATACTCAAATCTTACTATACAAGGTTATTGGAGCCAGTTTAAGGTCATATAGTGTCTTTCTCAGTTTGTAGACCTTGTCTCTTCCTCCTTTCTCATAGCCAAGTGGTTGATCTACATAAACATCTTTCATCAACTCACTATGCAGTAATGCACTCTTGACATCAAGCTAATATACCCGCCACTTCTTGCATGCTGCAAGTGCTAAGACAGTCCAGATAGTATCTCATCTTGCCACAGGAGTAAAAACTTCATTGTAATCTATACCATGTTATTGTGAGTACCCTTTAGCCACAAGCCTTACTTTGTATTTCTCTACTTCCCCTGTTTCATTGCGTTTGTTTTGTATATCCATTTGACACTAACTTTCTTGACTCCTGGTGGTAGATTGACTAGACTCCAAGTATCATTTTTTCTCAATACTTTTAATTTCCAAGCTCATAGCTTCTTCCACTTTTCATGCTTGACTACTTCATCATAATTGAAAGGATCATTGTTGCTACAAAACACTGTTAAGTTGTGTAGTTGCTATTCTTCCTCCCCTTCTGAGTTTGTAACATAGTCATTTAAGTACCCTGACCTTCTTCTTTGCCTCACTGCTAGCTTTATATGCTCTTGCCTTTGAGCATTGTTTTCTTCTCCAATAGCATTATCCTCACTAGCATTTTCTACATTGCTTTCATCATGCTGAAAGCCATCATTTTTAACATGCACTCTCCATGTCTATTTTTTCTCTATCAACTTTGTTGGTTGATTGAGTTTTGTCTTCTTTGCCATGATTGTTCCATTCTCAACTTTTGGATTCTTCAAAAACCACATCCTTACTTATCAAGATCTTGTTATTTACAAGATTATAGAGCTTGTAAGACTTTGATTACTCACTAAGTCTTAGGAGAACACACTTTGTACTGTTGACATCTAATTTTTTTCTGTACACATTCTTCTGTACACATTAAGAATGTGTACAAAAGCTATGCACTCAAACACCTTGAAGTGATGCACCGAGAAATTTACATCACTCCATGCCTCTTCTCGAGTCATGTTGGATTTCTATTGATAACATATGCTTTATGTGTAGCTGCTTTAGTTCAAAAGGTCTTAGAAACATTTTTAGTTGTCATCATGTTTCTGATCACTGATCACATTCATCAAAGTTCTATTTTTTCTCTTTGATACTCCATTTTACTACATTCATCAAAGTTCTATTTTTTCTCTTTGATACTCCATTTTACTATAGCAGCAACTGCAATGATCACAATCACAATACCCACAATTACAATCGTATATACGACTGCAATTTAAAACCATGGATTCAGAAGTAAAGATAGATCAGAATATGCTGGCAAAGACCGGCTTGTAATGGTGGTGCCGCAGATGACGTCTCATCAGCATGTGCATCAGGAAGGAGAACTTCAGAATGTGATGTCATGTGGAAAGAAGGCTTTTGGCCATCCTTAATGGTATTCTCTTGTTATGGTTTGGTGTCATTGTAGAACTTTTATTCCTCATTAGTGTGAAAAGAAAGCTGCATGCCATATTATATAAGTTTGAGAATTGTGAACCCATAACTAAACATAGAAAAGACAGGAATTGAACTTAGAAGTTTTGAAGCCATGATTTGCCCCGAAAAACAGGTTCTATCTAATCCAAAAACTTAACATAAACTCCTAATACAAAGCATGACAAAGTGGACGAATTTCTCAATGTTTCCAGCACTGAAGACAGTGGCAAATCGTCAGCGGTGGTTGTTTCTTTCTCTCTCTGCATTTAAGTTGAGCGGTCGGGTTTTGTTATCCAGTGAATGATATGGGCACACAGGCTTACAGTTACACATGTGCACGTGCACACATAAGCACATCCTCGCGCGCACACTCGCACACAGTTACAAAC